AAAAAATTAAAATCAAAGCAGAATTTCTAATTCATAAAATTTTAACTTTTTGAATGTTTTCCTTTCACAACATTTGCGGGGGGGGGGGGAAATCAGCAATCGAATCTTCAAATATCACTCTAGGCTTCAAAAATACTATATGCCAATTAAGTGGTTATGGTACAGTTATGCTGTGGCAACATCCCCCTGTTATTGGTCAAAACGCATTAGTAAAATCAGTTCCATCCACATTTTAACATTTATTGACTCAGCATGTCAACTGACGTGCTCATCGGCGCTTGGCCAAAATATATGCAATCAGGGCCAATGAGAGCTAAACAAAAACGCATATAAAACACTGCTGTCTGTGAGTAAGTGAGTGCGAATACAAAGCCTTCCGTGTCTCTATGATAATTGGTTCAGGCAGAGCACAGCTGTGTGCAGCACCAATCATCAATGAGACAAGGAGGTCTTTGGAATCCTGGGAGCTGTTCATGCAAGTTCCTTCCACACCAGTGCAACATACCATCTCATTAGCTGGTTTGCGAGACAGGAAGTGCATGTAAACAGACGGGGTAGTTGCTGTGCCCTGAGTTTCCATTAAAGAAACTGTTCTTTTTCAAACCATTTCCAAAATGATTTGACAAAAATCAGGGCTTTCCCCAGCTTGCTTCCTCATCCAAAGACAACTACCCCCAATGTCCAATAAGCTTTAGTGATTCATGTGCATTAATTCCTGTTTTTAAACAGCAAATACAGATACCTTTGATTTAGGTTTCCGGTTGATTACAAAAGCTTTATATGACTCTTCATTATCTTTATCCAGTCTGTAAATCTCCAATATTATGTCCCTTAATTCTATTTATTTTAATTTGCTGGAGAATGATTGAGTGTATGTGTGTTAGAAGATGGCAAGTGCAATAATAAGTTCAAATTACAGAAAAAAACTGTTTATTTCTTTATAAATGATTTAGTACACCTTTTTTGTGGGTTTAATTTAATTTCCGTTTCATTTAATGTGTTTAATCAAAAAAAATAAAATCAAAAAAAGTTGTAAACATCAAACTTACATTATTGCTTTTGAAAGTGAGAAATATTATATAAAAGTATTTGAAAAATGTTGAGTTGTAAACTGCTAATTGAAGTCATAAGGATCCAACTTCAATTTAACTAATTTGTACACCGTTTCTTCAGATTAGTGTCACAGCTGATTTGCTTGTGCAAGCAACTGGAGCTGTTTAATTTACTGTAAGCCTGCTAAATCAAATGTACACAGTTACAGCGCGTAGTTAATATTGATATTAGGAGTTTTAAAGGACACATTCCCATGCATCTACTATTGCAGTGAGAAAGTTGTGCTGCTGCGCTAACGATTGCAGTGACAACAAAACTAGGCAAAACAAGTCCACTTTAAAGTTCGTAAAATTCTGTGCAACGGCTTTGCAGAAAATTGTCTATTATCTAAATCTGGAGGATTCTGAGCAATTCTGGAATGTTTTAAAGCATTAGAATGCTATTAAAACCTTAAAAACTGGAGCCAATTCATTTCAGTCATGATATCACGTACAACTGAAGTATTAAATAAAAACTAAACAATGCCAAATGGATTTGGCCGAGATCAAAAAGCCAAATCTATTTCATTCCTTTCATCTCCAGTGTTCCATTTCCGAAGAGTGTGACCTTAGTCAAACATCTATTAAAGTTTGCTTTTGATCTTAACCTTCCATTTTTGGAAGAAAAAAAGGGAAGGGGGGGCTGTAATCTTTAAAATTTTCTTCTATAGACAGTAGTCCTATTGTGTGTGCTGCATTATAGAGGCTTGTGAGTAAATAGCATTTTTTTTGTAAATGTGGTAGAAGACAGGTTTAATGGGACAATCATTTTTATGTCAGTGTTAAGAATGAAAAGGGGACATTCTTTCAGGGGTCAATGAAATAGGATCTCTTTTACGCAGAGGAGAGTCAACTCAAGAAATTCCTTATTTTTTAGTCTGTTTAATGCCCTCTAATAAACAGCTAATATTAATTTTCTAATATAATGAGCCAATCCAGACATGGGGGTTTGGTGGTTTCTCAATCTCAATAGTCGCCTGTGTTTCCTGACACAGTGGGTCACCAGGATAATAGTTAGCTCATTGCTCAGTGATACAGAGTGATTACATGCTTATTATTATTACTGATGACAGATAAAGCTTAAAAGTGCGTTAGTACTGTGGACTTTGTGATGAGGGATGGACATATTGTGACAGACATACTATACTTTGCCCTAGAAGCTCTAGGTATAAACGTTCTAAAAGAGAATACAACGTGAAAGAGATCACTACACATGATTAAATCAACTGATAAAAGGGAATCGTAGAACTCGACTTAATAAAGGCCACTCATAGGTCGAACCATTGCTTTTTGGTGTCTTAAAATAATAAAACGGGTGTCTTTTTTTCTCTGAGAAGGAGTGCTGGACCTTTCCATTATTGCATACCAGTTGTGGTTGTGACAAGACAGGGAAATATGCACCCTTCGTGTCTCATTGCTTTTTCCAGGGAGCAGAGATTCTTGTTACAGTGAGAACTTAACTGGTAGATGCCCAGGGCTGCATCTCCTGCATCAGGTCTTCTTCTTTAGCAGGATAATCCAGTTTGCTCTATAGTCACAGGAGAGATATGTAGAACCGCGCTTATTGGCTGGGAGAATCAGCTCAGTGTGCTCAGCCAATGAGCACAATCGTGCACGAGCCCATTTTAGTCTATATAGCAATTCTTGGAAAAGACTGGTTAAGTTTCTAAAAGCTGTGTATAGTGGTATAAGTGATCAGTAGAAGAGTGAATGATGAAGACTTTGGAAGCCACATTTGGTTACCAATGAAGAGCAGGGGCGGACTGACCACTCGGGCACTTCGGTCATGGACCGAGGGCCCGAGGCAGTCAGGGGCCCGGCAGCACAGCCTTGTTCCAGCTGGAGAGATCTGAGATCTCTCCAACTGGAACGGCAAAATAATAAAATAGAACTATTTAATCGATAGGTTGTGGGGCCCCTGATGCAGCACGGGGCCCCCACAACCTACCGCTCTGCACATCCCCCCCCCCCATGGAGACCTGGCAGCTTCACCTCCTCCCTGCCAGGTCTCCGGCTTCCTCTCCCATGCGGCTCTGTGTGATGGGAGAGGCGGGGCCAGGAAGTGACATCACTTCCTGTTTACTCCTCTCACACAGAGCCGCATGGAGAAGGAGCAGCAGGGAGAGAAGAGGGAGCAGAGATGCAGGTAGGCACCAACCACCCCCTCCCCCCCCCTCACTGTCACTCACTGTCACCAGTCACCCCCCCACTGTCACCAGTCACCCCTGTCTCACCAGTGCCCCCACTGTCACCAGTCACCCCACTGTCTCACCAGTCACCCCCTCCGTCTGGGGTGCACCCCCTCACAGTCACTAGTCACCCCTGTCCTGATCACCCCCCCCTCACGGTCACCAGTCACCCCCACTGTGCTGGTCACCCCCCTCACAGTCTGTGATCCCACCCCACTGTCACAGTCACCCCCCCCCTCACAGTCACTGAGTCACCCCCCACTGTCACCAGTCACCCCCCTCACGGTCACCAGTCACCCCCCTCACGGTCACCAGTCACCCCCCCTCACAGTCACTGAGTCACCCCACTGTCACTGGTCACCCCCACTGTCACTAGTCCACCCCCCCTCACTTGCTTCGTGCTTCCCACTGTCACTAGTCACCCCACTGTCACCAGTCACCCCCCCACTGTCACTAGTCACCACCCTCACTGTCACTAGTCACCCCCCACTGTCACTAGTCACCCCCTCCCCCACTGTCACTAGTCACCCCCTCCCCCACTGTCACCAGTCACCCCCCTCACTGTCACCAGTCACCCCCCCCACTGTCACCAGTCACCCCCCCACTATCACTAGTCACCACCCTCACTGTCACTAGTCACCCCCTCCCTCAC